ACGGGGACAGGCGGCTCTCAAGGAGGTGAGAGCCGGCTCCACAGAAGTGGGAGCTGGCTCCCACACATGCAGATCCGGCTCCTAGGTTATTGGAGCCGGCTCTAGGCTGATTGGAGCCGGCTCCCAAAGTTCTGGAGCCGGCTCCACCCTAAAAAGTGCTTCCTGGATTTATTTTTGACGCAGTTTTGAAGCAGTGAGTGTCTGAACTGCTTTGGAAAAATTCTGGGACACTACAGAGTGTTTAAGAAGTTAATTTTGGATGTTAAGAAGACTTTTAAGTTGATTAAAGTTTAAAACAAAATTCATGAAGCAATCTGTTTAAAGCTTGGGCGCATTGTGTACGGTTAAGAGAGAGATGGAGATTATACGCTTAGGTTTTTCCCTGGGTATTTCAATGGGTTCTAATATATTTATAACATTGTTCTAAATATATTTTAAGGCCATTGCTGTATTAGCTTGGAGGTATACATGCTTTGGAGGTTAGTTGCTCAAGTTGATAAATCGTTCCCTGTAACTATTTGGTTTACCGTTTGGATTTAAATTGCTGGAACTTTATATATTTTGCTACAATTGTTGGGATATTGGTTTGGACTGTAAATTGCCAAACTTTAATTTAGGTGTTGTAATTTACATGGTTTGGATGTCAATTGTGAAATCTTATATATTATTCTGCAATCAACTGGATTAGGGTTTTGAACTGAAATTGCTATAATATTGTATAAACGATGCTGCAATTACTTGGTTTTGGTTCTGGATTCAAATTACTTGCTTATTATATATATGTGGTAATTTACATGGATATGGAGGATTGTATGTACCGGTATGGGACGGTGACATACTAGGTAAGGATTAGTTAAAACACTAATCCTACCTAATTTGGAAGGAGTTGGATTAACCATACAAAGGTTAATTCCTACTTAAATGGATGTATATGAACCGGTATGGGACGGTGTCATATTAGGGATGGCTTAGTTCAAAACACTAAGACCTACCTATATTGGGAATGGATTAGCTCAAAACACTAAGTCCTAACCAAATTGGATTAAGGTATGGATTAATCATAAAGGTTAAGTCCATCACCTATTTATGTCATGTCAATCAAATAAATTGAATGACCTACCATGGTTTCAGGATGGATTTGTTATACATATATCAGACCACTATACAGGTGGATGATATTTTGTTTTAGGAGTACGGACTTTATATATTTATTATATGGGCCATGGTATGAGCTTGAGTCTCAGGATCATGGTCAGGGCGCGTATATCGCCTAGGATGGATAACTGGACATAGGTGTTGTTCCCTGGTAGGTCTAGGTACTCATGCCCACCTTAGGGTGCGTATTTGCATGATGCCTTCTATTCAGGCTGAGACTGACCTACTAGACTAGCGAGCGTCCTATAGTATGTACTATATACATATATGGATTACTCTAGCTATTGTGAGGTATCTATGGTGTATCTGCGTATCAGGTCACTGTATGGATTGTAGTTAGATTAGAACTTGCTCGTGGGTCTGACCCACCCCTCTATTATATTTTTCAGGTGTTCGTCAGTCCAAGCTGTAGAGTTTGATCGTGCTGAGCAGATACAGTCATTCACTCCACCGAAGGCATAGGATTGTATTTCATGTGGTAGAATTGAGTTTTATTTCCAGTTCTTTTGAATACAGTTGGAATTTGAATAGGGGTCCACTAGATGGATTCCCGAATTGTATATGGAGGATCAGTTGTACCATAAAAGTTATTTATTAATGAAATTTTATTTCAAGGTTTCATTCAATGGATTATCATTTTAGTTTTCATTTCAGCAAATTTTATTTATCTCTTTTGATATAATTATTCTGTGTTCGATTATTGCTAATTGTTTTGATATCCTTTGGTAATCGGGCGTGGGCCTGGCCAACCCGCATCCGGAAATCCGGGGGTATCACAGTGCAGCAGCAAACAGAAATACGAATTTGGTGTTTCTGATTTTGGCCTCTTTTTCGAAAGCGTTTTGGTACTATTCAAATTGTAGCAAATGTAACGCATTCACGCTTCATACTTTTGTATTGCTAAAAAAAAATAAAACACGAAAGAGAAATAGTTGCCAAATAATCCCTAAAATTTTGTACATTTTATTGCATTGTGATACATGAAAATCATAAATATATACTCGTTATAAAAATGTGAAGACCCATATTGTAAAGCGTGCAATTCTTTTAATTATTTGGTGTCTTGATGAGAAATGAATTTAAGATAAGTTTGTAACTTATATAACTAGGAATTTATATATAAGTTATGAGGAAGGGGAATGTCACTATTTTGCAAAAGTTTTATAAAAAGGTTAGTAGCATGAATTAACATATACTATGGTTAGCCTGTTGCGGTATTTAGTGCGGTTGCAATTTAACGGACTCGGATCGATATTAGCATAAATTGACCAAATCGACTGATTCATAAAGATATATAATGATATGGAAGCCTTAAAAAAAATATGAACCAATCAATACATCGCGAATGGACTAAATATATCTTTATTAGCAACATATATCTTATAAGAGTAGCTCCAACACGGCCCAGAAAAGGCGATTTTGGCCAGTTTAGCTATTGGACGCCTCCAATGGCGTCGCCAAAATTTGGGCCCCACAGGTTAGGTCGCGGATGGGTCGCAAAAAACTACAACCCTCTTGGCGAGGCACGAGCCTGCCATGCGGGCTGGCATCAGTTTTGTTTTAAATTTTTTATTCTGGGCCAGAACAATGTTGTAGCCCAAAACACTGTTCCTAAGGTTCTGTTTGCTTGAAAAAAAAGGAAAAAAACAAATTTTTTGGCTTTTTTTTTTTTTCCTCAAAATAATTGAACCAAAGAGCCGTTAAGGCACTGTTTGGCCGACACAAACAGTGCCTTAAAGGCTTTTTTTGGGCAAAAAAAGTTTAAAAAAATAGAGAAAAGTGCTTTTTTTTAAAAAAAAAAAAAAAAAATTACTTTTAAAAATATTCCTTCTGACATATAGCTATTTTAGGCATTGTTTGGCTGACCCAAACAGTGCCTTAAAGGCTATATTGGCACAAAAACCAATTTTTTGAATTTATTTTTTTAAAAAATAATTATATATATTTATTTATTTTTTTAAAAAAATCTTTCATTTTTCCTCTATAAATACATCAACCCCAACTATTATTCACCTCATATCCAACCCATCTTCTTTAGTCTTCAACCTACAACTACAACCATTAAGTCATTTTCTCAATCTTATAGTTACATTTTTTTTACTCAAATTCAATTCCATGGATTCCACATCACCATATTACAACTACAACTCCCAATTCAACCAATTAAATGATAATTTTGATCCCTTTTTATTTGTTGGAGAAGAATCTCAATTTGTTGGAGAAGAATCTCAATTTTCGTCTCATCAACCTTCTCAAGTTTCCAACATTCCTATTGAAATGCCACAATCCAGTAACTCCCAACCTTCAAGAAAGCAAAGAGCGATTCGGCCTCCTAATTGGTCCAAGATTGAAGATGAGACTTTATGTTATGCGTGGATGGCCATTAGCACTGATGCGATCATCGGTTCAAACCAACAAAAGATAGCATAATAGATCCAAATTCAAGAAAGTTTTGAGCAACACGTTAGTGGTGCTGGTACACCTAAAAGAAATCATATTGTCTGCTTGAATCGTTAGTCCTTCATGCAACAAATGATTACCAAATTTTCTGGATGCATGGCCCAGATCGAAAAGAATTACCCCAATGAGCAAGACAATGAGTACAAGGTAAGTTATTTATTATATTAAATTTAATTGGTAGATATTTTAAAGATTTGTATTCTAATAATGATTGATTTTTATTTTTTTAGATGATAGCAGGTAAAGAGTAGTTTGCTCGTCAAAATAACACCAAATTTAAGTTTGACACCAAATTTAAGTTTGACAGTTGTTGGAACATTTTGAAGAGCAACAATAAGTGGCATTTACATTGTTAATAAGAATTAACATCCAAAAAAAAAAAAAAAAAGACAGTCGAAGAAGAGAAGTGGAATCCACATTGATGATAATGAGCCTATTGGTCACTCAAACCCATTTACTCCATCAAGTAATGCAGCAATGACACCAAGTTCGGTTGAAGAATCGGCACACATAGGCAAAAATGATCCAACGAATGTTGAAGAATGTCAACGACCAGAAGGACGAAAAACAGCAAAACAGAGGCGAAATAAGGATAAAAGACAATCTGAAAGTCAGGATGATTTCATTAGCAAATTCGATCATGCAACAACCCTTTATTAAAGACAATCTACTCTTGAGACTGCTCAAATAGCACGAGAGGCACACAAATCAGATAAAGAAAATATCAAACAACTCGAGTTTCAAAGCAAACTAAGAGAGATTGAAAACAAACAAAGAGCTGAAGAAATGTTAATCATGCAAAAAGATCCAGAATCGATGCCAACACAAGTCGGGAAAGTATGGCTAATTGAACGCCAAAATAAAATATTAGCATCTATACGCGCACGCGGTAACTCAAGCTTTCCATAGGATTATCTCAAGCATTGCATATAATTGCTATGTTTTTCCTAGTTGTTATGTTTTTAATTCATGTCGTATTATATTGTTTTTTATTTTTATTATATTGTTTTAATTTATGTCATATCGTATTGCTTTTAATAATAAATATTATATTGTTTAAATTTTTTGTATGATATAACTGTTAGGAAAAAGTTTAAAAATAAAATTTATTAAAAATTTAAAAAATATTAAAATTTTAATATTTTTGGAAAGCAAAAATATACTATTGAAGTATATCCGATAACTAAAATTTAGAGACTCTAAAACATTGACGTACCTATTGAAAAATACTAATGTGACAAATTTAGAGAGCTTGAATTCTAAGAGCCCATTAAAGATGCTCTAAACCAACCAAAACGTCACGAATGGACTAAATACACATCTATTAGCAACATATATAAGATAATAGGAATATAGTATGGTATTAGATTATTAGTATGTGGCCTAGACAGACGAAAATAGTTGCAAAATTTTACACACCCACCCTGCCCTTACAGTATCTCTTTCTCTGTATCTCAAATTGTGAATAGTGAATAGAATAGAAGAAGCTCCTTTTTGTTTTGGTTGGTTTCGGCGACTGATCAATTAATATATTGACCATCGTCGTCACGCCAGTCCTCTCTCTCGCGCTCTTTCTCTCAATATTGGCTATAATTGTCGATTGATCGTCGTTATTGCATTTACTGAGGAACAATCAATCGAAGAGAAAGAGAAAGAGAAAGAGAAGAGAAAGAGAGAGAGAATGGAGAGTTCGAGCGAATTGGTTCCATTTCCATTGCTGATAACTCCGATCGAGTCGAATTACAGGGCATGCACTATTCCTTATCGATTCCCTTCCGACAATCCCAGAAAGCCTACCCCCACTGAGCTCGCCTGGATCGACCTCTTCTCCAATTCTATTCCCTCTTTCCGGTAACTATCTTCTACAGTTACATTTATTCTATCAATTGCTCTGTTTTTTTTTTCCCTTAGATTCTTATTTATAACAACAGTAGCATTGATGAGAAAGATAGTAATTAATTTTAGATATTGATAAATTGGGTTTCTAATCTCTCTTTTACTTCATTTTTATTTTTTAATTTTATAAATTAAAAAAAAAAAAATTGTACAGTTTATCCATGATATGACTCTGTTTTGATTTTTGGCCGAGTACCTTTGTGTTTTGAGCACATGTTGTTTTTTATTCATTTAGTTTTGTTCTGCTGCAGGAAACGGGCAGAGAGTGACGAAACAGTTGCTGACGCTCATATTAAGGCTGAAAAATTTGCTCAAAGGTAGTATTTTGCTTGACTTCTTCTAGTCTAATACATCACATAACAACATTTTCTATGTGAACTTTTTCTACTTCATAAAATTTAGTTTCTTGACGTTTAAACTTGTTGAAATGATGATGGGCTTGCAAGAAATGTTTGTGTTATTAAAACCGAGTTCCGCATGAATCTACTTTGTTGAATGTCATGGTTTTTGACTTATATATTCCAAAGACCAAGCTTTCCTTTAGCAAGAAGATTCCCTTGGGAAAACCTGACTGCGAAAAAAAAAAAAAAAAATTCCTTTAGCAAAAGTTTATATGGATTAAAAATACTTTGATGCAATTACAGGAAATACTTTTCTATACTCAATGAGTCATTTTTTAGACATGCTTCGTAGTATTACAGGAAATACTTTTCTTGTACATATGATCTCGTCACAGTATTTCTGTTAACCATAAAGGCTTTACTACAGCATTCAAGATTCATGACTGCATTCCTCATGAACATGGAAGTGCTCTTCTGTTTTTGTCCTTTGGAGTTTATACTCCCAATGTACAGATGCATGTTCATATTTAACAACTTTACTGGTGTTGGTTGTCATTTTAGGTACACTGAATTACTCGAGGATCTTAAGAAAGATCCTGAAAGTCATGGTGGGCCGCCTGATTGCGTGGTGAGCCAAATTTCATCTCATTCTGAATTTCTTCACCAAATGATGCATTCTTTGATTTGGTTGATAAAGATCATTATACTATGAAGAAGCTGAATATTTATCTTTTCTTTGGATAATTACAGCTTCTCTGCAGGCTTCGCGAGCAAATTCTTAGAGAATTGGGATTCAGAGATATATTCAAGAAAGTTAAGGTAAATATGAATTTCTTCAATATGTTAGAAATGACTCTGAAATCCATTATATTCGGGAAAACAGGACAGCCACTGAAAGAGCATATTCTTTTTTGTGTTCACATGCACTAGGATGAAGAAAATGCTAAGGCTATTTCCTTATTTGAGGATGTTGTTCATGTTAATGATGCTATTGAGGATGGAGCTAAGCGTGTAGAGAATCTGGTTAGAGGAATATTTGCAGGGAACGTATTTGATCTTGGTTCGGCACAGGTATGTTGTGCTTTTAGCTGGAAAGAGATATGAACTAAGGACATATAGCTTATGAATTTCTTTTAATGCTATCTTTTTGATGTTTAGTAATTTATAATAACCAATGTAAATAGCAGATTTCAGTTGAATGTTAATTGTCAACTCATCATAAATTGTAACGAAGTGTTAATAATTTTTCTTTATGAAGTTAACTCTCTATCATTTGTGCGGTCCTTTCGTCTTAATCTACATACAATGCATATGTCACGGAAGTATCCTCTCCCAAACCTTCCACTGCCAGAGTTGGTTTTTGTCGAAAACGAAAAACTGAATACTCTATGTGAAGCCTAAACAAACCCTCATTGCTTAAGTAACTTGTTTCTTTTTAAGCATATATTGAAACTAAGATAATTATTGATGTGAACAAAGTTAGTCAAATTAGTATGGCCAATAGTTTGACATTTTATGCACAAAATTGCTACCCTCATATACTAACCAGTGCTCTCATCCTTGGAAATCTGAGCTTTAATGATTGTACCAATGTAGGCCCCTTGAATGTCGATTATACTGACAAGTGAAATATGCTTCTCTACTCTTCTTCTAGTTTTCCAATTTGAGGATACAATTTTTGGACATGTTGATTTATAAAATAAACCATTACCAAAGGCAAGGTTTATTATCGAAGGGAGGACCAACACCTTATCTCGGATACATCAGAGTACACCAAGTCCCAAGCTGGACCAGAAAGGGACTGAATAGGTTTGTTTTTAAAAAATATTATTATCTAACTATAATATGGACCAGAAAGGTACTGAATAGGTTTTTTTTTTTTTTTTTTTTTTTTTTTTTTCAAAATATTTTTATCAAACTATAACAGAAATTTACAAGTTTTTAGTGCATGAATGAAATCACACAATCATGGAATAGAATTAGATAAAGCTGAAAGTAGATTTAATACATTCACACAAAAACACCAAATTTACGCACAAAACCCTATGGTGAAAAAACTACAAGACGCTAGGCTAGGCAGAAACAATCCACTATGAAGAAAAGGTTACAACCCTAGGTATTAGACTCAACCCATAGAATCACCTGAATTGCCTTTGATCTAGACTTACACCTAATGTTCACCAGGAGGCAGGAACTCTGCTGCTATCTATCAACAAATCCATTCTTCATGTGAATTGCTTCTTCTTCCTTGGTTGTTCTCCTTTTGCTAGCTCTCCCTAATAATTTTACTATGCTCGTGTTCATAGTATATGTGCTTTGAAACCCTACGAGTGTTTATATATGCTTGTCGTTTGAAAGAATTAGGGCTTTAGAAAAACCAATTAGGAAACTTTCCATAGGGTTCTATGGATCCATCCATAGGTTCGATCAAACTGGGACAATGGGGTCCAATCAATGAAATTGATTGATCAAAGACCCTGTTCAAATAGAACTTGGTATTGCAGTTTCACACTATAAATAGTTGGTGACAAGCTCTTCAAAGATTCCTCCTTCCCATCTTGAAGGCGTCTTCGGGGAAAAAAAGGGAAAAGAAAAAAAAAAACATGATCTTGCAAAAAATAATTTTTTACTAGGTTGACCCACTCCACACATTGTTCCAGAACTTCAATGAAGCCCCATTCCTGACCAAAATCAGTGCTCATTGTTGTTAGAGGAACCACATTTCACAATTACTTTCGTAATCTGTATCCATGAAACTACTTAAGTCATGAGCCAAATCTGTTGTCCCTGTATTTGAAAGCAGATGCTTCCTCCAAAATTTGCCAAACCTCTGGTTGTTCCGTGCTCATACGCCTCAAGCCATTTGGTCAGTCGGTGAAGATGTGCAAAAGCTGAGCAGCCACAAGATGAGTTGATGACCAACAGTCAATTTCTGCGCCTCAACGCATTTCGGGGAGAACCAGCTAGCTCTGGGTTTGAGTGGCATCTTCCTTCCGTATGTTGCTCGGTTTATTTTGACAATTGATGTAGAAGGGAAAGAAAATCAAGTTGTCTTGCAACCTTATATTCACGGGCGGCTTTCTAGTTTAAACCATCCTTTTTGGCGTTGTAGGATTTTAGATGTTTAAGCTGAGCAGAAAAGGTTGAAACCTATTGGTGTCAAGGGGAATATGCCCTTCTATAAGTAATTTCTCATTAAGATTGCTCTAACAGAACTTATTAGAATTCATATCTGATTTGAAGAATCCAAAATAATTCCACTGAAGTTCTTGCTGAAATTCTTGATTAAGTTCTTTGTATTGGATATTAATAACAGGGGGGCCTACTTTAACTTCCAAAATTTTAGAACACATTGAAAAGTTCATAATTCTCACAAATGTACATATATTTGAGTTTTATGACGTCAGATATCTTGATTCTTACACTTCATAGTATTTGGGGTATGTTTAAATTCAAACAAGTAGCACTTACTCGTGTACTTTCTTCCCCAATTTTTTAAGCTTGCAGAGTTATTCTCGAAGGATGGGATGTCCTTTTTGGCTAGTTGTCAGAATCTCGTCCCTCGGCCCTGGGTTATAGATGATTTAGACACGTTTATAATGAAATGGGGCAGAAAATCTTGGAAGAAGGCAAGCTCAATATGTGGTTTATTCAGTGGATACCTTTTCCTTCCAAACAAAATTTTCATGTTCTTTTTCTGTAATAACCAGCTCATTTGTTTTTTTTGTAACAGGCTGTCATTTTTGTTGATAATTCTGGAGCAGATATAATTTTGGGTATATTGCCATTTGCAAGAGAGTTACTCCGACGTGGGACACAGGTTTAATTTCAGAATGATTTACTTTTCTGCTGTGCCTAATTTATTTGGTCGAACATCAAAAGGTTTACAATTATACTATAAATGAAATGCACATCTAATAACTGAAGCTTTAACTGTTCGCTTCATCATTAATAACATAGCCTATTGAGTAAAGCACTAAAGCACAAGTTTCAGATTTTACATCTACATTCTTTTCTTTTAGTGGAGTTTGTCATTTAGTTGTCCTGTACAAGCAGGAGGAAGGCTATCTTTCTCTCTCTCTCTACAATTTGTTTTGTTTACTTTCCTATTTGCATTGTTTAGTTGAAGTTGTAAGCATTTGAGAGGTCTTAACTCCTTGGGATGTACCATCTCAAATTACACCAGAGTCAAATCCATTTCAAATCCATCTCGACATTGTGAAATCATCCACTTTTTTATATTGTTGCCTCGTTTATCCTATTTTAACTTTATTGCTCCTGTGATGCAGGTTGTTTTGGCAGCTAACGATTTGCCTTCTATTAACGATGTAACTTACCCTGAACTAATTGAGATTATATCAAAGGTGGTAGAAAGTTTTTCTTTCCAATATCTATGATAACTACCGATTCCTAGTTGACTCTGACATCTTAAACTGTAATTTACCAGTTAAAGGATGAACATGGGCAGCTTGTGGGTGTTGATACTTCCAATCTGCTGATTGCCAATTCTGGTAATGATTTGCCGGTAAGAGATGGCAAGTGCCATAGTTGATTCCTGTGATAGGTTAATTTGTCCTTTTTGATGTTTTAAACTCATTGGAAGATTCCTATCTTATAGTAGCCTCACCATTTTACATGTTACCACAGGTTATTGATCTCACGAGCATATCACAAGAGCTTGCCTACCTGGCAAGTGATGCAGACCTAGTTATTTTGGAAGGAATGGTAAGTTCTTACCTTATCAAAGAATTAGTTAATTTTTAAACTTTTGTTGTTTGTTGAAGGATTTAAATATTGAAGTTAATCCCTCTCTAAAAGCAGGCAAGGTCTTGTGTTTAAACCTCACTGTCACCCTGATAATTAAAATTGAAACACGTGTTAGACCAAAAGAAGGCCACACGTGAGAGGGCGTGTTGAAGGATTTAAATATTAAAGCTACACCCTCTCTAAAAGCTTAAGCATCTTAAGCTTTTAGAGTAGATAATGGTTAACATTGTTGAACTTTGTTTATTTTCTTCTTTCCATTTCTTTCCTTCGGAGGACTGCTCATCATTGGATAAGAATACAGCCATAAGTTGATATGGACAATACTAACTATACACCCTCTCTAAAAGCAGCCAAGGTCTTGTGTTTAAACCTCTTGTCACCCTGATAATTAAAATTGAAACACGTGTTGGACCAAAAGAAGGCCACACGTGAGGGGGCGTGTTGAAGAATTTAAATATTAAAGCTACACCCTTTCTAAAAGCTTAAGCATCTTAAGCTTTTAAAGTAGATGGGTGTTAACATTGTTGAACTTTGTTTATTTTCTTCTTTCCATTTCTTTCCTTCGGAGGACTGCTCAGCATTGGATAAGAATACAGCCATAAGTTGATATGGACAATACTAAATTTGTTTGACCTTTGCTCAGCTTGTATGCAGTTACTAGAATTGAGTATTTGGAGTTTAAAGATTTCATTGTTAGTGGGACTCTTTCCCTGGAAATTTCTAGGAAACATCATTTGATGATGTTAAGGAAATTGTTGTTAAGAATAAAACGATATTACATGGTTTAGTCACTAGGGTCTGCATCCACGGCACAAAGAGCCCAAAGGGATACATCACTTCTATAATACTCTCTCAATTCATATACAATACAATGATGGAGGCTCCTTTATATAGGAGAAGAAATTATGAGAATGGAAAGAATTAAAAAATAGGAAACAAGGAGGATTTTTCTCCACTGATTCCTCTGGTAACACTAAATCTTTAATAATAGGAAATAACATCAATTACTGAAAGATTTTCCTTCTCTAATTTCTCCATTAAATCTTCAATACTCCTCCTCAAGTTGGAGCATGAATGCCCAACTTGCGATTGAGACGACGAGTAACAAGAAGTGTGAATGATGAAGAGAGAAGAGAGGAGACAAAGAACAATGTTTCCCAACACACTGATAGCCCAAACAAGTAAAAAAAAAAAAAAAAAAAAAAAAAAAAAAAAAAAAAAAACTGCTGGAGACACGGCAAAGGCGAGAATAATGCTACCGAACACACTGGCAGCCCAAACAAAGAATAATGCTACCGAACACACTGGCAGCCCAAACAAGTAGATAAAAACTGCCGGAGACACGGCAAAGACGAAAACAATGCTACCAAACACACCGGTAGGCCAAACAAGTCAATAAAAATTGCTGGAGATATGGCAAGGGTGAAAACATTTCTGCCGAACAAATCTACAGCCCAAACAAGTCACAAATAGCACCAAAAAACCCTTAGCAATATCATATGCTAAGGGAATACCCTAAAACAGGGGTCCGAACCTAGGAAGAGAAACTAGGCTCTGATACCATGTTGTAAAGCATAAAGCGATATTACTTGGTTCAGCCACTAGGGCCTACATCCACGGCATAAAGAACCCAAAGGGCTACATCACTTCTATAATACTCTCTCAATTCATATACAATACAATGGTGGAGGCTCCTTTATATAGGAGAAGAAATTATGAGAATGGAAAGAATTAGAATATAGGAAACAAGGAGGATTTTTCTCCACCGATTCTCTAGTAACACCAAATCTTTAATAATAGGAAAAAACATCAATTACTGAAAGATTTTCCTTCACTAATTTCTCCATTAAATCTTCAATAGAAATGAAGTCTGAAACCTCATTGAAAATTTCTATTTTGTCTCCAAAAGGCTATGGTACCTCCAGATTAGATGTATTTTGGAAGATCGTAAAACAGAATTCGCATTATTTACCTTTATTTTAGTTTTTGGGACCAAAAGAGACAATGGAAAAGGAAGAGAGAGAGAGAATTAATTGAACTGTACACAACTATTCTAATTTTGGAAAGTTGTCACATTACAGATAGCTATTTCTTTTACTCTGTTTGCCTTGCAATCAAATGAAGTAGGTAAATCTCGACATTTAGCATTTAGGTTTTGCGAATCTATGCTTTATTGCTTCACTGAAGCATTATTGACAAATAAGTGTAATTTCTAAGAGTAGGATGAACAGCTAATAACACATAAAGGAACTCACCTAAAATATTAATTGCAAGTTTTACAACTTGGATTGCCTGACCATTGCTAAATAGGTTACATTTTCCAGCATTTTGTATATAATATTTATTTCTTTTGGCAGGGTCGTGGAATAGAGACAAATCTTTATGCTCAATTTAAATGTGATTCGCTCAAGATTGGGATGGTAATGTTTACTTAATGTATAGAACTCCTATTTTTTTTTTTAAAAAAAATTATTATTATTTTGGATCTCAGTTGATTATTGCTGGAATCCTTTCATTTTATGCCATTTTTTAGTTCTTATTTCCCTTTTTTATTTACAGGTTAAGCACCTAGAAGTTGCTCAGTTCCTTGGGGGAAGGCTTTACGATTGCGTCTTCAATTACAATGAAGTTTTGGGTTAAATAATGCATTCTGCTCAATATTCCTGACCTAGTTATTTACATTTGAGCATTTTACACACATAGAATGAGGTCTTAGATCTTTTGGAAGTTATCTATGTACTTTAAAACTGCTGAAGTTAGTCATTTTTGTACTTCAAAATTGCTGGAGTCTTTTCTTTTTTAATAATAAAAATAACATGGCCAAGTACTGTTGACTTCCACAAAAAGGTTTCCTCTCCATGTGTTGTCTGAAAAATATGTAACATGCAGAAGATGAGTGCATTTTCTTTTATCATGCTGTATGTGCATTTTCTTTAGTCACTTTTTACTATGAAAAAAGTGCATCATCAAACTTATTGGACTAGGATTGTTTTACATGAAGACAGAAATTTCACTGCAATTGTTCTAATTGTGGTGTGCACTACAATACTGTATTCCTTGTTCATCTTCTTGTTTTATTGATGGAGGATTGTAATTTCATTGTGACTCACCATTTATTAGTATATTAGTTATTGTTTGTAGGATAAGCAGCCGTTTTGTTGATGCCTCACAGCACTTGTAATTTTTCGTGTTTATGAAACAGAATGCCCAATTTTATTCCTTATTCCTTTGAGCGTGAACATTAATAATTACGAATATTGATGAATTTATATTTCTTATGCACAAACCTATGTGCATATAACATAGTTAATAGAAAATTAGCTCAAAACTCTTTGAACTCCTCAATACAGTTATTCACCAATATTAAATGAAGATAAATAAATTAAATTTTATTAAATAAATGTCAAACCCTAACAGTGACACATCTCAAGATGCATCATCCCTTAAATTTAGGGAGTGACACATCTCTTTATGCATTATTGTGTTAGGGATTGTATGCCGTGCAACGCCATTAGTGACATTTATTAAGTAAAATATGATTTATTTATCTTCATATTGCATTGATTAGATCAAGGAGTTTTTTTTATTTTTTATTTTATCTTGGTAGTCCATTGATTATGATAGGATGAATTTATGTGCACAGGAGGAAAAGGCACATGAAATATGAATTCATTGGCATTTATAATTATTAATATTCGTACTCTAAGGAATATAACTGGGCATTCTTTTCCATTAGTATAAATATATGTTACTAATTTAAGTTGACTCTTAATCTTAACAATTATACCAATTGGGGTTATATTAAATTTATAATTTGATATACTTGGAGTGACTTATAATTAATATATTTGCTGCAGACCATATTTTATCAATATGTAATCCACGTGGTAAAGGGTTTTTTGGTTAGGTTGATTCGATTGCAGAAATTTGGCTAGTTATATTTAATATTGATTTATTTTATATATGTAATTAAACGGATAAATATAGGTGAGCATTGATTGTGATATTTATCTAAATAACTAATTATTATGAAGGTTAATTTATGGTATTTACTAATTGTTGGGACTAGTTTGTAATTAATAATAATTAATAGTGCTCATGGATATAAATTAAGTCATATAAAACTACTGTTTGTTTTGAATTTAACTTAATTAATAATATGCATGGGTCACATGAAAGGTACGTTGGATGACAATTTATATAACACATGGACATCAATACAGTGGCGTTCGAGAAAATTCTTGAAGTAATGCACATAACATGGACTACCGGATACTCGCATCGCCAACAGTTGAATGCAATATTTATACAACAAATATTTTGCTTGAATAGTAGTAAATATGGGTGGAGTTATTAATTAAATGGAGGCCAAGTTATTAATTAAATGGAGGCCAATATTATGTCATATATCTTAAATATAAGGTTTAATTAAATTTTTTATTCTCTGTTTGTCTGGATGTAAAATATTTTTAAATATATATATATATATTTTCTCGTGTTTGGTTGTTGTAAAATATATAGGAAGAAAAAATATATTAAAATTTTATAAAAATAATTTATCAATCAATTTTTGGTAAGTAATTTTATACGTTCTGCCCGAAGGACTTGACCTCGACCTAGATCTAAACTTTTGCCAAATACCGAAAAGTACAAATAAAAAAAATATTTTACCTAAAAAATAAAAATATTTTTTAAATAAACAGAGTCTAAAAGACAAAAAGGGCATATTGTTGGTCTATAATTAAAAAAATATTTTACGTCGAAATAAACAGAGTTTTAAAAACAAAAAGGGCATATTGTTGGTCCATAATTCCACACCAACTCTAGGTGCCATATTTCAGCCCCCAGCAGGTTTATCTCACAAAGAAATATCTAAATACAAATGATGCCACTTTAGTTATACAAGATATGAATGAATACACATATAACTAAAGTGGAAACTTCACAGCCTTGATGAACAACGTAACTACAGTTAGTAGGATGACTGACGTGGAATATCAGGCTTGTGCACAACCTCAATCGTTGCTTTGGATGGCTCCAACAACTTCAGTGCTTATTTGTTTGGGCCTTTAATTTGATGCTCATTGTTTGGTGGTGTGGTCAATACCGAGCACGGAAAAGAAGGTAATCTGGCCTATAAATATAATTAGGGTGAATAGGGATCGTCTCAAGAAATATAGAGTGTATTTTTGCTTAGAAATCAATGTTGAATTAGAAGGTCAAGTAATAAAAAATGGTTTGATTGGTTAGTTAAATTACAATTTAAACTAAGCAAAAACAATGTGAATTAACTAAAGTAAGTAAGGTGCAGAGAGTATGAGAGAAAGGTCTTGAGTCGTAGAGTTCACCACTAAGCATTACCTTCCTAGACATTTAACATTTGATGGATTAATGAAGAATTTGTGTTATAAACGAAAGTGTGTGCAATTGATTTAAATATTAGCATGGATGGCCAAGTAAGAATATATTGTCTAGCCAAACTAGTGAACAACACAACATATCAAATTAAGCCATTAATCTTTCCGTAAGCCCATAACCAATGCACATTCAACAAATTAGAAAAATATATTACTTGCATTCATAAACATGGAATATCAAACAATAAGAATGGATTGTCCACCTATCTAAGAAAGTAAGGCAACTACACTACAACTAAGTTAGTGCCATGGAAATTGAACTAGTTAAGCTAAAGGTGTGGCACAATCCATCAAGAAATGAGTATGAACCATCAAACAACCACAAGAGTGTTCCATTTAAGCACCATGCCTTGGCCATCACTAGATTCATAATATCAACACATATAGACATGCGTTAATGTCACAAAACCTAGAGATAAACACATGAACATCCATTCTAGCATACATAGATATATGAATAGAATTAAATGATCAATTAGAAGTATTAAACTACACAAATCATTGTAAAAACAAGATTTATATAAATCAAATATCAAGACAAGAAATACAACACTAATCCCCATTAATTACAAAACATTAAAATCTATGAGTCATGCTTAGAGCTATCTCTAGCCCCAAGAGAATGGTTTAGCCACTCATTGATGTTGTCAACCAACCCTCAAGGGCTATCTCCATGGTAAAAATGATCTCATTCTTCTTGGTAGAAATCCTAGAGGAAGAACTTTCCCAATTTGTGTATTCTTTCTCTAATCTCTAGTCAAGAACCTCTAAACTAACCAACATCTTTACTCAAAATAGCCAAAATCCTTATATAGGAAACTCAAATGTTACCCAATGGTTAGACCTTGCGCACTAGGGCCTCTAAATGATTGCACCCCGAACACACATTTAATTTGGCTTCAAAATCAACTTTTCACGCAACTTAAGGCAGTTTATCGATCATAAGGTTGCTTCGATCAATTGAACTATGGCAGCGCCTTTTTGGATAAGACAAGGCTGAGATATTTTTGGGATATTTTTAGGAAAAGGACAAAAGTGGTAGGTGGGGATAAGATCAAAATGTTCGATCGATTAGAAAGAATGTTGAATCGATCGAACAAGATATTTTTCTGAGGATAAGGACAAAAGGTTCGATCCATCAAAACTTGGTTAGATCGATGATCGATCGGGGATTGGGTTCGATCAATCATGGAGAGTTTCTTTCACCACTTTGCTCCTTTCTTCCTTTGAGCTTGAGAATGCATCTTTTATGCTCTAATTCAGCTGAATTAACTTATTTTAGGGATAAGCGCCTGAAAAGGGAAATAACACGAAATTAGTCTAAAATGGGAAAATAAGATAGATAAAGGTCCTAGAACACTCAAGCTTAAGGGGTTTAAATTCGCACTTTTCAGTGCTTATCACACCCCTAAACTTAAATATTGCTAGTTCCTAGTAATAAACTACGAAGTAAATAAATTAAATAAACAACTATACAACTATGAACTAGAAAGTAATAAATGAATAACATCACTTTTGCAGGGAACGCAATTACATTTAGCACATGCAATAAGCCTTTTAAACCCCTAGGTTACCCCTAGTGGACGAGTGAAGTCTCGTGAAGGTTTCCAGAAATGATACCCATAAACATTAAGCTCATTCTCACAAAAAAGGCACCAATATTCCAAATAAGCATTGGGAGAAAACTACCTCAAGTATGTAATTTTTCAACCATTTTCAAGTAATCTCCCAAAATTTTAACATCAAATAAGCAAGTATGATCCTCCACACATCAAGAAAATGATCATGCAAATTGAAACAACTCTAGAATTCTTTTAAGTGAACTGGCATCAAATGTGTTGCTATCTAAGCCAACTAAATAAATGATCACATCTTTACCCTTAAACTAGCATACAAATCTAGTACCAATCATCAAGATAAAGAGTAAACATTTTATTAAAGTTTTATTAAACTAGGTGCGCTTATTCTTTTCATTCGATTTTATTTTTATTATTTTATTTTATTATTATTATTTTTTTATCCCTAAGGATCAAAGATTGAATCATAGTACAATGTGTTGATCTAACAAGCTTTCTAGCGACCCATGAGGTCGAGCGTTAGGTCAATGACTCCCAAACCAGACGGCTTTAGGGCATTTGGTGTTTAAACACCCTAAGGACTTACAAGCTCAAATCAACTAGGCTACAAACCAAAACTACCTCTATCTAATCATTTCCCACTTCTCACCTTTTAAGAGAAGTCCTCACTTTTTATTTGCTTTTGCAACAACATTTTTTTTTTTTTAACCTAGAGTTTGGGCCCTCCACTTTTTGGCGTGAAAAATTCAGTGCTTGATGAGGCTAGAATCCCAGCTACTTAGTGAAAAGGGTTTATTATCTACCTTGTCAAGAATGAAAGCTTTCAATGCACTACTAGCTCAATTGAGAAATAACCAAATCAA